TGCATATAAAACATAAAAAATGAAGTCATCAGCTTTCATGAAAAAAATAAACTGAGCTCCTCTACACGAATACGATCCACTAAATCAAGACCATGAAAAATGAGTCACTCATTCGGATCGACAGGCACGGAGTAGCCCTTACGTAATGTTGCTTATTTTTTAAATCTGGTAAGATAGTGGCTAAAGAAACATGTTTTTTGAGTGTTTAGTTCCTTACCTAAAAAAATGCGATCTTTGATTTCGATAAAATAAACCGTCTTTGGGAAAAAGTCTTGTTTTCATTCCTGCCCTATTTATTCACACTGCACCTCCAATTTTTTGTTGTTAGAATTTACTTCCTAGGGTTTTTCATGTCCCTGATCATGAGTCTGCAGTCAAATTTAACATGTTTTCAAGATACATGAACCAACACAATAGATGCGATACGGAAATTGATAAAGTTGTACTGAAATCGCATTATTTTTTTCTGAAAAATGCCCTATTTTATCGAAATTAAACAAGACTGCATTTGCGGCTTGCTGTTCTTGAGCCGTTATTATATAGGATTGAAAAATCAGGTCTTTTCCGTGGATGCCTACATGTGAGCCAGGCCCACCGATTTTGGTAGATTTGATTCGTTCTCTGTCACGAAAATAAAATTCTGCAAGATAGACTTACAAAGTCCATGCTACTCCATATTGGTTGATAACCTACCACCCACACAAGTTCATTACTCCTAGCAAATCCAGGTGCTGTATTCATGAACGTAAATTGTATCGCAAAGTAAAATATGAGCATTGTGTTAATCTCCATCGTAGGCACCATACATACTTGAACATTTGTCGACAAGTCATGGCACCAGCTTTTCCTGTCCTCAAAGAATGCTACTGCCTGTCCATTTAACCGGTTAGTAGCTATTTCTTACAACATGTCATCATTTTCCAAGTTATTTCCACCAATAAATTCCTTCAGTTTTGAAAGGAGATGAAGGTCTGATCGTGCTAAGTCAGGGCTGTATGGTGGATGATCCAATGATTCCCAATGAAACGTGTCCAGTTGCGTCCGGGTTCTTGCCGCAACTTGAGGCTGGGGGTTGTCGTCAGGCAGAACCATGCCGACGGTCTTGATCAGCGCTCCTAAGCTTCAGTAATAACTTCAACAGGCTACCGGTAACTTTCAGCAGGATGAACTTTATTTGCATTTAACAACCGAATTACTGAGCGTACTTCAAAATAGGCGGGTTAACTGCTAGACATGCTGGTAGATAACGCAATAGAAATACAAAATCAACTCCGACAGAGACGTGAAACATAATGGAGTTATAGTGAGACATCGACCAAAAGTGTCTGAGGTTAAACGGACGTCATCGAGAGGATGCGCGGACGCGATGCGCAATAGGTTCTTGCTTTAAAAATGGCACTCTTGTGAGTTCGTCGTAATATCGGTCATAGGTCGTTATTGCAAGAAAGGAGGCTTAGGACAAAAGCTGTCATCACGAAAAATTTTGTCCGGCACTAGAGGTATCTTTGAGCTATAATCTTATCGTCTTAGCAAGCACTCCAAATATTTATACAACTTGATTAATGTAAAGCAAGCATCATAGACATAAAATGTCCTTCAAAGATTAATTAGGAATCTAATCAATGGTGTAACAAGGGAAGCGGAAGATGCTAGTGTAATGAAGCGATGCGGGCAAATTCAGGCGCGAAAAGGTTACAATGAAGCGAAAGATTGGAATTCTATTGATGGAAACGGCGCAACACGACGAGCAACGCCGAATCGCTGCTAGGATTTCTATTATAACGACTTTTAAAGTAGGTCTCTTTGTTACGTTGTCGCTGCTCCGATGAAAGATTTTCTCGAATTGCCTGGCTCTTATTGCGCCGCGGGATGTTGGAGTTGCCTTCTGGAGAAAATACAGGATCTTTTCTTGTTATTTGTGCTTTTTAATATCGATTTCATTTGATATTTTCCATACTACGTCTACTCAAATACTCAGAGGTGTACCAAAATATGCAAGAAATGATTAATTATGTGTTAGTTGAATGCATTGAAACAACAGTTTAATCCTTTTCCAAAAATGTGCATTTGTATCTGCTGGAGAGGACGATCAACCTTCATAAACGGCAGTCATCCATGGGGGAGGGACCAACCCCTTCCTTCATTTTTCGTGTACAATCGCTCATAAGAGTATGTATTTGTGTACGAAAGTTAGGGTTAGGGTTCACTATAAAATTTTTAACCCAATGTTTTTTTGTGCGCAGGTTTTTTACGATCAGAAATATGTACGGTTTGTTATAGAGTCTGCATTAAAATCTGAATTAAAAAAAAACTACAAAAGGTAAACATCTATTTCGATGATTATTATAAAGAGGAATAGTGCGGATTTTGTTTTTTAAAAATTATCTAAATGTTGAACATTACGTCGGACACACTCTTGAAATCTCGCCTCAGTATTTCATGCCACTCGATGCAGAAGTGACTGTGGGATAGCATTAACCTCGCGCACGATATTTTATCATGTTGCTCGGAATCTCCGCACCAACGAATGAATCGGTTCTCCGCTGCTCTAAGCATAATGTTTTCGTCGAATATTGTATCTTGAACAAAATTGTCGACGAGCAGTTGCACACGATTCATTCGCCTTTAAATATGCTTCGATTGCAATGCGACATCGTGACTAAAAATCCGCACTAATGACGAATCTAGTGCGGCTCCTTCCTCGCTCCCGCACATTTGATTTTGAAATCCAAATTCTGTCACCTGACATACTTATTTTTAATATTTTCTCAAAAGTCTAAATTTTGTGTGCCAGTTTGAACTCGGTTACACGTTAATAAGACTCACGCAAAGTCTAGGATTTTGACTGACGTAATACAAATCTGGAAGTCGGAAGGTCCCCGAAGGGAGCGGGCAGGTCTGTTACACAAACGGCTTGATCTCTGAACGTCTTTGGGCCTAGAACTAGGCTATTTCTGCCTCTCGGCGGATTCATTTTCCAGGCGATTCTGGCTTGCGTATCCCGCATATTGGAAGTGCCCAGGAGGAGAATAACAATCCTTTCCGACAGCCAGGCTGTGATGAAGGCACTAAGGGCCCTCAAGATTACTTCGAGCCTTGTCTTCTAATGCATGGAGGCTCTGGATAGTCTAAGAGCAAGGCATCGGGTATCAATAGCGCGGGTACCGGGGCACGCAGGGATAACGGGCAATGATATGGCGAACGCTCTTGCGAAAGTAGGATCTGCGAGAAAGCTCGTTGGCCTGAGCCAGCATTAGGGGTGCCCGCGCAAAGACTCAGGAAGAAAATGGAGAATTACAAGACAGCACTCTCAGAGGAGCTCATCGTAGGGGTTAGTGCTAAGGATAGACGCTTTTAATTACCCTTGGATAGAGCTAACCAAAGGCTGTTGGTGGAACTGTTGTCTGGTCGTAACACTTTGAGGCGCCACCTGCAGGAGATGGAGGTTGCTGAGAATCCCACATGTGAGCGCTACAGTATGGAGTCTGGCGATGTCAACTCTCTTCTACTTTAACGCTAGACCTCTTTGTCCAAAAGACGTTGAAACATGGCAGTAGAAGCGATGCTTCTCTATTCCGTTATTTTACCTTTCCTAGTGCACTTTTATGCAATCTATATGACTCTTTTCTGTGCATTTGCGTCGCAGGGGTACAACAGTTCTATCATACGTGAGGAAATCATCACCTAGTATCAGAACCATTTGTATTTTCATTGGCAAGAAACTTGAAAAAATACGCTGAGCACCGGCAGGGTCTGCCTAATCATCCCAAATCATATTTATTGCTAATGCTAAAGCGCGAGCGACAGTTCTTCTACGTTACATTCGACATGTAGTCTCCTCCCCGCGCCGGCCTGCACTTAATTAGGAAAGCCTGACTTGGACTTTATTCACCTTATACGTATGTATAGCGATACTTATTCACTAGTTTCTGAAAAAATACTACAAATACCTCATTATAGATATAACTATTAATTTGCTAACAGCTAACATTTCTTAGGACCAAAGGCCGTATTAACGAGTTCCATCAGTCATCACATTTTGTTCGCACTGGTTTTCGGTTTTCTTTCTCCGTAGCTCCCCCGACATTGGAAGTTCGTAAAAAATAGCGTTTCTAGCTCATATACATAAGCATTACGGAGCACAACATACACACGTAGAATTTATGTCACTGATTTCAGTTGATCTAGTTATCGATTTGTTTGTCCGATAATCCTTGACCGCTGTGACGGTATTTGTGATGGTGACCATTGCGGCAAGGATGAAGAAGTTTTATAGTTTTTGGCAAATCACGACAGTCTTAGCATAGGGGTAATAAAACAAACATTTGGTTTCGATATATCTAGTATTTGCAAGAGACCTCTCTGCGTTCGTGAATGGTTAAAACGTTTATTGTTGTAACTTTAATATGTCGGAAAATTCAAAAAGTACTGTTGGAAGCATTAGATAAGTCCTACGTCGAACAGTTCACAAAAAGATGGTGATCCACACAGTACTGGGTGCTACGATGAAGAGTCATTTAAGAAACCTCGAATCCGTCCACTACACCACTGAACATCAAAAGATTTATGCCAGGATATTTTGTATTCAATTACATAGAATTCCCTTGCTTAGCGGTGGAGAGGAAACAATCTCTAATCAAAATTCCTCAAAGTTGGCGCTCACAGGCTACTAGATCTAATGATTTCATTCGTCTGGCGTGACGACTCAATCCATTGTCGGAATTAGGAATGTCCTCTCTGATTCCGTTCACTTTGACACTTATAGGCGGTTGGTCCTTAACGGGCTATGGACAGATACAAATGCGAATTAAAGCGGATTCGGTACGAGAGACACAGACTGTCGGATTACAGTAAGTTTCAATACAATACAGAGTATGTACGAGTATCAATGACAATGTTTACATAGCAGCTAGCTATGCGTTTCAGCGGTAGACTCTACGTGTTTACTAATCAGCCACCGTGAGCCAAATTCAAATTCCAAGGGAATTCTTTTCTTGGCTATGAAGGTAGTTATTTGCCGTAGGTAGGGCTATGCTAACTACAGGACATATGCACATGATCTCCTGATTTGACCCACAGAACACAGCTTCATGATAGAGCAGCGAAGTTGCAGCTCGTACGTCGTTGTCAGAACTTAGCTTGCGTGGTTAACCTGTCAAAACTGATTGTCAGTGCTTGTCACTCTTCCTACTTCTTGAATAGGTAAACATGTTTTTATTATTTATTTATTGTGTTTTAGTGAACTTTGCGCTGGCTATGGATTAATAGTGTTGCGAGCTTTGTACGGGATTTTATACTCTAATACGCAATAGGCTCAAAGTATGTGCACATATAAGAACGGCAAACCCTTATATTTTTTTCATAGTACACACATGAATCCTTTGATAAGCTTTTCCTTAAATAAGGTGCGATAGAAATATTAAGCAATTTTATTATTACTTCTGTAAAACATAAGCATATGTACTTGTTTTATTATAATCTCCGTCAACTATACCTTGATAAAACCATCAATGCTACAATTCACCACAACTTTCTTGAGCTTGTCAGTTGTGTTCCTGTGCGTTCAAGTGTCCAAGTGTCCAAGTGGACGCATATCTTACTACGGTGTAAATATGCGACCTAGGCAAAATTGCATTTTTGACAGCTGAAAAATGATTCAGTTCATCATAGTACCCATCGTCGACTGTTTGAGAACAGTGCTTGAATATTTGGATACAGGGTGTATTCACTAGAAAAGTTCCCACCAGAATTTATCGAAAACTACTGATTAAAAGAAGGAACGCCGAGACACGTCAAAAGGTTTGTCAAAGAGGACAATTTTTTAACCAGAAGCTACTTCACCACCTTTCACCCTCTGCTCCCCAGGGTCGCCTCCTCCTTAAAAATTTTAATTGACAATGAGTATCGAGTAATAGCTCGTTTGAAAGGTCTTCTAAAGTCCTCTATTCTGACGTTTGATATTTTAAAATCGGTTGATTTATTTTCAAGAAAACTAGGCAAATCCTTATTTACCTTAATTTGTTCAGATAGAAAACAAAAACACAAGAAGGTATCACTTTTTATTTCAACAAGATTAGATTTCAAATAGCCCCATATAGAAAGTCTAATGGCGTCAGACCAGGAGATGTAGCAGGCTAGTCTATAGACCCTCTTCGCCCTATCCATTTATCTGGAAACTCGTCGTCTAGCCAGTGCCGACCTAGAAGAACATAATGAGAAGGAGCCCCGCCCCGTCTTGCTGGACATATATTTCAGTCTCATCAAGTATAAGGTTTCCACTCTCTTCGATTTGGTTTTCAATGGTTTCAGTGATAAGAGGATTGATGGTATTTTCCAACAAATGTCTCTATTCAAATTTCTATTAATAAACAATGACCCAATCACTTTGTTTACTAAAATTCCTATACACTAATTTCTTGGGGGTACTGGGTATGCTTTTCCACAAAGGCATGATTCTCATTGCTCCAATACCTGCAGTTATGTTTATTATCAAATCCATTTACATTCATCAGTAAAGCAGATATTCTTTACATGAATGTTCTTATCATTAATTGCTGCAGCGATTTGTTCACAAAACTCAACTCGCCTATAGAAATCATCTTCGGTTCACTGTGCAATATTCCGATTTTAAACGGATGAAATTTATGGAGTTCAGTAACTGTGTGTACAGAGCCTAATACCAGTCGCAGCAACAATTTTGCATCATGAAGTATTAGGGTTTATTCCAAAATGACCCAAAACTTCAACTTGAGCGGTTTTATCCAAAACTCTCCGATGATCACGTTTATTATTTGCATCAGATCCAGTTCGAGTAAATTTAGTAACAAAGTCCAAAATATACCTATGCGAAGTTATCTTCTTCGGATGTCTGGCGTTAAACACGACGGCAATTTGCCGAGCACATTGATTTTGGGCACCATAAATTAGAATCATTTCCATTTTTCCGGCTAGTGTGTAAACCATTTTGGAAGTAAAATCTTAATCATTATAAATTAATTTTCGCTATCCCAAGATTCACACAAAGGCAACTGTCTGCAAATTAAATTCATTCTTTCCCTTAGCAACAAATAACTAAACAGGTATAACAATAAATACAATTTGCTCATGATTTCTTTGTTGATGAAAGGAATGTGGGAAAAATTCAGCTTGTTATTTGGTTATTGCTACGTCTAATCTTCCAAATTGCTGTTTATGTTGGTAGTTTCCGTTTTAAATTATACGCGAATTGTAGATTTGGCAAATCCTAACGGGCAAAATTTTGAACACTTATTGAAACAAGAAGTGATATTTTTGTGTGTTTTTGTTTTATGTCTTAACAAATTAAGATAAAGATTTTTCTAATTTTCTCGAAAACAAATCAACTTATTTTTAAAAATCAAACTTCAAAATAAAGGACTTCGACAGACCTTCTAGATAAGCTGTTACTTGATATCCCTTGTATTTTAGAATCTTTAGGGGAATGGGTGGCCGATGGTGAAAGGGGGTGAAGTAGTTTTTGTTTAAAACAACTTCTTTTCCGTCACAAATCTTTTGACGTGTTTCGCCGTTTTTTCTTTTAATCAGTGGTTTTCAACATATCGGTGGTGGGACGTTTTCAAATGAACACCCTGTATGGTCAGAGGACTGATTTAAGTACTCCATATTTGCCGTCAGAGTAATCTTGGAATAGTATTTAACCCTCATTTTTTTTACCGCGAGAAGGTGATCATAGATATCAAGCTGTCACCGCCGGAGAATAAAAGCTATTTTCGTGGCATCTGGCACAATCCTAATCTTCACGATAGAAGCTGGAAAACCTACAACATCTGCCTGAAATAACCTTTTACGTTGTTCTTATGTGCTATATGGCAACAGCGCCTTATATGAAATGCCATCGTTTGCACTTCCTCTTTGTCGACGTGCAGACATCGAAACCTCCCCCTCCAACTTTACAACAGCGCACGCCGGATATGATGCTTTATTGGGCGGAGGTAAAGTTGTTTGCTCTGCCACGAGTCCCCGTTCCAATCATTCGATACAGAACTCGCCGTCTGATACGGAAACTTTTCAGGTACAGAGATACTGCCCGACCTAGCACAGTGACAAGCCACGACAGGTAGTTGTCAGAAATACTTTTATGTTCGTCGCTTGGTAGGCGAAGACAGCATCACCAGACGATGTCTGGCAGATACTCAGTCAATTTGAGGTTAGGAGGAGATGATAAACGATGATGAGCCTACATTACATGACACAGATTTCGCCATAGAGAACACGCTTTATCCACTATCTGTCCGATGATGCTTCCATTTTTGGCCACCACCTACATGGCGATCTGTTATCATTACTCGAAACTCGCGGGAGTACAGGTCAGAGTTATACAGTCTTGTCTTTACTAGGTATCTATCATTAGTTACATACAACATCATTAGCCTTTAGCGCAGCTTTCAGTATGATCTAAGTTTCAAATAATCGATGTATCTTTATGCTAGCGTACCTGCTGGTAGCCTGTTGGAAGGACTATTTGTTTATGTGTGCTTTTGCAGCTGTCGTATGCTTGTGTAACGCTGCAAACCTAATGTGGCATTCAACAAAAACTTGATTACCAAGAAATAACAATTTTTTATATGCAAGTAGTATATTGTGGGTATTTTGATCTTTTATATGACTGAAAGCGTTATCCTTGTTGTGCACAAAAATGATTGTTTCATTACCGGTATCGGTGTAGGACAATATCAAGGGAAGTGCAATCATAGGGGAACAAAACACTTTGACAACATTTGAATTATTAACCTGATTTATCTATTATATTTTCTTGTTTCCACTTTCCCACACTTCTTACTCCTTCACTAATTTAGAGGAATGTGTCAAAGATTGATGCAGGAGCTAGAGGAAAGCTAGGAATCCTGATGAGGTTTTGACTCAATATCTCGTCGGGCACAGAAAAATATCTTGTTGCATAAGTCACTTGGTGCGAAATAACTTGACATAGTGAAACACAGAATATCGGAGAGGCACTTCAGTGCTCAGCAGAACACTCCGATAAAGCAGTGCATGAATCATCCAGAATACCAATGGGAAATACTATATCTAGGATGTCGCAAGATCCTTTATTCGAATTCTACGATTTATCACATCTTACAATTATTTTCTTAAATATGAGGAAAAATTCGCTTTGTTTGATTCACACATTACACCAAAGATTAAATCCAAAAAGTTCTTCTTGTCTTGATACTTTTTTAGCCCTCAGAGTTTCTTGAGCCGAGTAATGATTGGTACGGCGATAAAAGATAAATAAATTAAAATCACAAGAATGCAGGCACTGATCGCTATCCCCCGGTCTAAGTACTTCGACACTTCTGAGCTTATCGGGCTGATATCTATTTGTATGCAAAATAAATTGGACTGTGGATTTGGCTGCTTCTAAATTTTTTCTCAATTTGTCTAGTTGATATGTCAGAGTTCTACTGCTTGTAAAACACTATTCTGAGGGGCTCTTTGATTGAACAATGTTCATCTAAATTTCGAGGGAACTCTAAGACATGGCTGCCTTCTTTCTGGGAATTTACCAAGATACATCACTGCAGTATGTATAGTATTTATTATACAGGGTGTTTCAGTTTATTGTTGCATAACTTTAAGATTCGATAGAACATTCAAAATTAATGCATAAAGTCTATATAAACATGGGTCGAAAAATGCATGGCTTCCGAAATACAGGGTGTTTAAATTTACTTTCTAAAATAGTTTTTTTTAAATATTTCGAACAATATTTGATGTATAACAGTGAAAATTGGTACACAAAGGTTTTTTGGTACGACAAAACGAACCATGGGCATAGTTTTACTGTAGCCGCTAGAGGGCGCTCTCTACTGTACCTGTAGTGTATTGAAATAACCGAAAAAATTTTCTTAGTGCAATTTTTTGCTTTTTGAATGAAAAAACTGATTCTTCGCACTTTTCAACATAAAAAAGCTCTCTCGTCAATTTTGGTCATAGTTAGCCGTTTTTGAGATATTTCGATTTTTAAGGTTCGATGCATTTTTATTATTTATGATAAAATAACGTTAAAAAGTAAGTAGCTCGATAATTTTTAGAAGTAGGCTGTGCCTGCAAATATTTTTGAAATTGAAAGCAGAATAAGGTTAAACGTCAATTAGTTGACAGTTAGTTTTGTTGTCTGTTGAAACCTGAAACGTTTTTTTGCAATTGTGAATGCACGAAAT